CTTGGTTTCTAGAAACTATACGTTGGCATATACATGCTTGTTATGGAAGTGGTTTGCCATTGCTTTCTTCCAAAACCATTTTTCAGCTTTCCAATCTCATCTATAGTTCTAGAAGATTCCAACTAAGCAGATAGCAGGCAATCTCTTTAGACATGTGGACATATCGATGCCCTTATACAATGCTCTTTTAGAAATATTTGCTATTGATTCCAGTGGATGGCAAGACCAATACACTTGATTCAGATTCTAATGTTGACTGTTTAATTAATTATTAATTCAGAGAACACAAAAATATGACTTAATTGTTTACAAAGAGTGGTGTTTGCATTGGGTTAATAAATATACTGTATGACTTTCTATTATTATTTTTTTTTTTAAAAAAAAACCCTTTCTTTCCTATGGCCAATACAGTTCCCTTTTAGTTTCGATCTCAGTTAGGACTGCATTTTGGTGGCCACCTAGCATATTTTTAGGAGGTCCAGGGCAACAAAAAACTGGGTAATTATGCAACGTGGAAAAGCATGTCACACACCTGGGCAGACCCAAATCTTAATGAAACTATTTTTTTTTTTTTGCTGGGACTAATGGACAGATGGACAGACAACTAGAAAAAACTTATGAAAAATTGTTTTTGCACATGGTAACTGCAGCAAATTTATTATATGCACAAAAATTGAAAAACTTTTAAGTACCTACAGCAGAGGAGTGGTTAGTGAAAATGTCAGAATTCATAGAGATGGCAAAGTTGACTTGTTTAATTAAGAAAAAACAATAACCACTATTTTTAGTGACCAGAAACTCATTATGGACATTTACTGAAAATAGAAAAAAGTGATTTAAGGATTTGAGGATTACAAATAGTAGAACATGGAAAGAACAATGCCATAATACAGTCTTAGAGAAAAGATAATATAGAAATGCATGTATAATTCCTGGGGGAAAAAAATCAGAAGTTGCTCCTTTATACCTTTTTCCTCCTTTTCTGTATTTTTCTTAGTTACTTATTAATTTTCTTTCTCTTTAAGTGTGTTTTGTTTTTGTAAAATATTCAATAAAAATATATTTTTTAAAAAAGTAAAGCCAAAATGTAAGCCTCACTCTAATTGTGTTTCCTGCCACAAATACTAGGGAAGCAGCCTGCCAATATTTTTAATCTTTGACCTATATTCCAATAAGATTTAGCCCTGCAGGATTCAGACCAGAAAGTTTCATACCCTCTGCTAACTCAACATTCAAGCCAGGCATTAAATCTGAGATATTTTAAATGCAAAACATCACCTGTACCATTGAATTATGTATGGCCCTTTTCTCAGCTTCATGGGTGTCCGTGACTACTCAAGAGGTAGGTATTCATTCCATGGAAGTAACTAATTTATTTCCCATCTTATTGTTCTATCTTCATCAGGCTGTAACATTTCTTCATCAGGACCTTATATATTCTACACCCCCTGCCCCACCCAGTTTCTGTCCAGAGAACAATGCACGGTAACTCTCAAGCAGTGGCCTGAATAATACTGAGGCCTCCTTGCCCCTTTGAAAAGTCAGATGATCTAATAATCACTACCCAGTTTTGCTGTTTCTCTTTTTAGCAACACAATAGCATCCAAGCCCCCTCTGGCAGAAGGCATTTTCTGGAAACTATGCACATCAGATTTCCCCCTTCTCTTCGCTTCATCAAACTTGGGAATAAACATGCTTTGGAACATTTTAACTGAATTGCATGGTCTGTGTTTTTGAGACTTGAAGCGTTTTCAATCTTAGAACATTTTTATTTATTTTTTAACCCTCTCTCTGTGTGTCCCTCTTCTCTCTTCTCTCAGTCTTGCAAGCCTATAGAGTGCTCCTCTTTTCCGCATCACGAACCAATTGGTTTCTCAGTCAAATCTTATTTGGGACTGGCAATGGGACAGCATCTTCCATGAGACCCAAAAGCAGCCAGCTGGTTTACCAAGTCAAGAGAGCAATGATTGCAGCATACACGGTTTACCACCATTACTCCCTGCCCTTCAGCATCTACTTCAGGCATCTACTCATCCTTCTAATTGCAGGACCATCCCTAAGAAGACTCACATTTTATTGACTGTTATACAGAAGCCTTGCCAGAATTAAGAATATACTTACTACTCCTGGTGGGGGGAGGGGGGCTACTTTCCAATTTACCCTTCTTGGGTGTGCTGTTTCATTTCCACTGTCCCTCAAAATAAGACACATTTTATTTTCTTCTACTTATAAAGAAATTAGCTGCTTCACAAATAAGAATTACAGATGCTTTTGGCACTTTTATTGGGAGGGAGGGAGGGATGGAGGGAGGGAAGGAGGAAAGGGAGGAAGGAAGGAAGGAAGGTAGACTTCTACTGACTAAAAGAAAACAAAACAGTATGGAAGCATGGCACTGATTTTGGAATCTTGTGAAGCTCCAGCATCCCAAGGACTGACATTGCAATCCCAGCTACAGAAGAGCTCTTCCCCCATCCCCACCCCCCACGGCCCACCCCACTTGCATTCACATTCACAAATAAGCAGAATGGCACCTCCAAAGATTATGCTCAGCACTGAAAGAAGTATATTCCTCTGCTGGAGATTGCCTGAGGAAACAGTAGAAGAGATGTAGAGTCATTTTAAAAAAACTGAGTTGCTAGGGCTGAGAAACCACACCCTCCTCTCCTTGCTTCTATGCCTGAGGCTCTCCACCTCTCTTGCCATCCACTTTTCATATACTACAGTTTAAACTCTGGGTTTACTACAATGCTCGCAACACTTTTCCCTTTTGGGGATAACTTCACAACCGAGTTGTGCTTTAAGCCATGAGAGTTTAAAGCCAAGTGCTTGCAAATTAGGTAAAGCCTAGTAAGTTTGAACCTGGAGCTGCTTTGCACATAAGCATGCTCGACAAACCCAGAACATTTATAGCTTGATGTGTTTCATGAATGGCACATTACAAGAATTGTACTGTACAGCCTTACAGTAAATGTGATAGAAGTAGAAATCTGCTGTGTTTGAGGATTGTAACCTTCAGGGCAAACTCATTGATCTTGAGGACATGACTTGTCCTCTCTGAGTGCCTCATTGCCCATCACTTTTTTTTACAGAGCCAGACATAATCCTTGCCCAGCTATGCTTTCAATGTCAGGACCTAAACACAACTCACTGGATTCCATTACAATGTATGGCATGTAATGCATCGCTTGTTCCCCATGCCCATGCCATGAAACTTTCTACCCTTTTCTCTCCCTACTGTCAAACATTAGAATTTTCTTTGGGGTAAAATTCTGGATTATTTTTCCACTGAACCTGCAGTGGAAAAATGGGATGATGTATAAATCTATATGTAAACCGTAATTACTAGAAGGCTTTCTCTCAAAGGACTTTGCCTTGAGCAAATGATTAAAGGATAAATGAGAACCTTCTTTATGCCCTCTTTGCATGCTCAGTGGTCCTCTTTAGAAGCTGCATGGTTTTAGAACTGCTGAAGACCACTTCAAATGAGTCTTCTGCTGCGAAGTCAAAGGGATTTTGCGCCTTTTCTAGCCTGTCTTTCAAAGCTATAATATAAAATTACATATCCATAGAATCAAAACTGTTATTTCCTGGGCGGAATAAAGTATCTAGGGAGGGAGAGAGAGAGAGAGAGTCAGCCATTAAAAAAAATCATTGTGAAGGACAAGTGTTAAATCTCTCTCGAGGAATTCGTTTGCAGTATAAAAATGTGTCCCTGCAGACTCTATTAGCACTTAAAACGAGCGAACACCCTTCAACGAATCTTTGTCTTCCAGCCTAATTTCCTCCCCAGAACAGATGTGAAACGAAGATGACCCTCTTCTCCCCACCCACGCTTCGTGGGAGGAAAAGTCAGTGGGAATTTGGTAGCCTTTTGAAGTTTTGCTGCTGAATTACTTTGTGCTGATCTCAATACCGCCCCTTCATCCACCCGCATCCAGTTCTTCTGCACTAGAGTATGCTAAAGTGCTAAAATGCTTATTCTGCACGAAGAGTAAGCAACCAATCATTTCTGTGTAGAAATGTTCCTCCTCCTGAAAATATACGTCCTTTATTATCCCATATCTCTTTACTCTCCTGAGAATTCGAAAGAAGGAAAGTGAAATCAGTCTCAAAATCCCAAATCAGCTCTTTCGCTTCCAGCCGGCGCGCTTCCACCCCCTTCCGTTGAGCCGCCACAAAGAAAGGAGCTGGGTGGGAAGGAAGATCGTTCTCAGGAGCCCACTCGCAGAAGCGCCACACCCGCTTTCCCGACCGGGGAAGCCTTTGGCCACATCCCGCCCCCACTCAAGACTCTAATAGCCGTCCCCAGATTCCTTATCCATGTCTTCCTCGGCCGGATAGATTTCGGTTCTGGGGGAATCCCCACGATCAGAAGTAAGGTGTGGCAAGCGGAAAGGGCGAGAGCGAGGCTCCGGCGCTGTCCCCTAGCTCTAAGAATTACCCACTCCGTCTACAGTCTGTACAGTGTGCATTTGTTATTCAGTATTATAATACCATCATTACCATCTAATCATTATATCGGACTGAAGCACATCAAAAGTTCGCTCCACCACTCCTTCTCCCCATGCCAGGCTGATACCTTGACCGATACTTCTGCTCTCGCGAAGATTCACATGTGACGTACGCGAGCGCATCCCAACCTTCCCACGCCTGAGCGGCGAAGCTCACGGGGTTCACTTGCCACCCTGTGGACAGCCGTCACCGCCGAGGCCCCATTTCTGAGTCTTGGACCCTCTCTTCCATCCCAAATCATCTTAGACGACATTCTGATACTCACCGGTCCAGGCTTTCCTCGCCCGTCTCCTCCTCCTCCCCCCCGAAAAGAAAGAAAAAGCCGCCAACTTGCCCCATCCCAACTTTGCCCTCTCCGGGATGGAGCAGCGCCCGACGCGGAAGAAGGGGGCGCATGCTCTCCATTCTCCCACCCATTCTCTAATACCTCTCAGCGTGTCTCGCCCCGTCGGTCCCCGGCCGGTTCCCTACAGGCACCGTCTACTCACCCCGGAAAGCAGCAGAAAGCCCCATAGCAAGAACGTCGTCTTCTGCATGATGGTCTGAGGTAAAATAGGGCGCAGGAAAGGAAGATGCCGGCCGGGAGATGAGGAGGGGGCAGGAGGCTGCTTAAACATTCCCTCCCCAAGGGGCGTCTCGAAATGGGGGCGGGAGGGAGAGAAGAAGAGCATCGATGGCGACGGAGGCAGCGCTAGTAACTGAGGGAGTCGGACAGCACCTGCTTTCTGTAACTGGTAAGCTCAGCCCCCTTTTTTTTTAAATTAGTATTAAAACGATCGATGTTCTCCTCCCACTGGCTGGGTGGTTTAAGGAGCGCACAAATAACCGAGACGTGACAAGCCCTCTTCTTTCAGGCGCCCAGGAAGAGCTTATCAAAGAAAACCACTTGGTTCATTACATCTTTCCCACCCGTAAAACTTTTTATAAAAAAAATATTCTCCTGAAAGTTGAGGAAAGATGTTGAGAAAGGCATTAAAATCCTCAGTGGTGAGGAAATGATATTAAATAACTTCCAGGGATTCCACTAGTGAATGGAAACATGGGTGGGGCCCAGGGACTAGTAACATTTGCCACTTTGGGGTTCTTGCTCCTTCCTTCCTTCCTTCCTTCCTTCCTTCCTTCCTTCCTTCCTTCCTTCCTTCCTTCCTTCCTTCCTTCCTTCCTTCCTTCCTGTCTTCTCCTGCAAAATCTGCTAAAAGAAGATCTGGCCATGGCTTTGGGGAATGGTGCCTTGTCTTTGGAAGCATCCAATGCTGGCATGCAATCTTTCCGTTGTTTTCTCTTTTTTCTAATCAGACTCCACCGGCCTGAAGAGACAAATACAAGTAGAGAGAGATTACAGTAAATCTAAGTGAGAAGAAGGTAAGCTGGCCAACCAACCAGCAGTCAACTGTAGTGAGGGATGTGTGACCCTCAGAAGTCATCCAGATGGCCATAAGTTATTATCTGGAGCCATTATTTGTAATGTTATGTCCCAGCCTTGCAAATCTCTTGGCCTCCTGATGGATTGATGGATGAAATTTATAGGAGTTGCACTTCAGTCTATCTGGAGTGGTCAAGTTGGGCTAGGCTGATACTTGGCCAGATATCTTGACAAGAACCAAGGTGAGATTGACACTTTATGGCAAAATGGAACACAATTAAATCTGACTTTTAGGACACACTTCACTTAGACTTTTTTCTGTACATCCTCTATAACAGTGATGGCGAACCTTTTAGAGACCGAGTGCCCAAACTGCAACCCAAAACCCACTTATGCATCGTCGGGTGCTGGATGGGTGTGGCCCATTGGCTGGGCGTGGCTGTGGTGGTAATGGCAGACTGGGTGGGACTAAAAAGTTAAATCAATCAATTCCAACTTTGCAAGATTTTTTTTTCCCGCAAGAAGTTGAAATTGACTAATTGAACCTTTTTTTTTTGAACATGGCGATGGAGGCCTAAAGCGAAAAGGTTTTATAAAACCCAGCTGAAGGCCTAGGACTGGGGCGATGGTGCGCGTGCCCGCAGAGAGGGCTCTGAGTGCCGCCTCTGGCACCCGTGCCATAGGTTCGCCACCACTGCTCTATAAATTTCCATTTTTTTCAACAACACTGTGTATCTGCTCGTGGAATAGATTATCAGTTGTTATATATCTTCATATATACATTATAGTGTGTGCGTGCATGCACATACACACAGCAAATGTGCACCCTACGTTATATCAAAGAAAAAAATAAAACTAATCATGACAAGATATATTGAACAAGGAAAACCCTGTTTATGTGCTGCAGCTAAACTAAAAATGTAAATCCTGCTAGCAAGTGGAGTTCATTTATAATTTAGATTATTCACATGGGGAATCAAAGTGGCCTTTCTTCCTGGAAAGTCTCCTGGAACCTATGGCTTGATGTCACAGATCTATGTGGTCTGAAGATTTATACTTTTTCATAGGGAGATCAGCCCTACCTTTAGGTCTTCCTTCCTTCCCTCCTTCCTTAGTTTCTTCCTTCCTTCGTTCCTTCCTTCCTTCCTTCTTTCCTTCCTTCTTCCCTCCCTCCCTCCCTCCCTCCTTCCCTTCCCCCTCTTTCTCCCAACATATTGCAATGCATTTTCACTTCCCTCATCTCAGACAACTGCTTTCCACATCCTCTATTAGATCAATTGTGACAGAAACAAGGATCCAATTGTCTGACTCAACAAAATTGGCTATCTTTGTGCTCAGACTCAGAGCTTCCTATATCTGGCCAGTCTTGCCCTGTGTTTCATGCCATTGCCTCCTCACCCCCAATTTGCCTGACTTAAGAGTAACTAAATTGCCTATTTGGTTAAGAACCAGCACTCCAGAATGCCACAACTCTTTCTCTGCTCAATAAATCAACTCTGGGTATTGTGCAGCAACAGCATGACTTAGTTTGAATAGACCTTCTAGTTGCTCGTCAGACATTTTATGGCTTCAATTGTGGCTTTAATAATGAATGCCATGTTAAAAGTTTAGCCGGGATCCTTTCTGCTTTCTTGATAAGTGCTCTCTGAATTAGATATTCAGAATGGAGTCCAGACCTTTTTTGAAAAAGAGGAGATGGATTGCAGAGCATCTGACTTGTTCCACCTATCACTGTTTGAAGAATATGAATCTGCAGGGAGGAGTTTGAGATATACATTTTTGGTATTTATAGGATGAAATATGGAGAGACCAGGGTTCAGGAGGCATCATGAGCTCAGATGGCTCTAATTCAAGCACTGGATGCTCAAAATTTCTAATCCTTTTGCTTTAAAAATGTGGTATGCTTCAGCGCACACAACTTGTGGCTCATGTTGCGCTTAAAGACTAGTCCAAAACTTTTTGTAAGTTACTTCCTCCCCCTACTGCCTCCACCTATCTCCAAGTTCAGTCAAAGTCATGTTATTTCTATACTTGGGATAGGATGGGGAATCTCTTTCTTGTCAGTAAAAATCCCTTTCATGATATTGAAGATCACTTGCCCTGGAAATTGCTTCATTGGGCCTAATGATATAGACAGCAATGGGTATCTTCTGTAGGATGCTCTAGAAGCAGGAGCTGCCTTGTTTATAAACTGTTTTAGAAGCAGTTCTTGAACTGACTCACAGATTTATTCATTACATTTTACTCAGCCTTTTCTTTCCTAAGAAAAATAATTCACTTCCATTTTATCCTTACAACCAACTATGAGCAGGAGATCCTTACAACCATCCTGAGCAGGACCATCTAGATCAGTGGTTCTCAACCTGTGGGTCGGGACCCATTTGGGGTCGAACGACCATTTCATGGGGGTCGTCAAACAATGCAGTCTGCCATTTTTTCCCCCTTTTTCTTAGCTGTGCTACTCCCTTTTATTCTATTGGCTTTTGAAAGCCAGTAGAATAGACTCTCTTGAATAGAGTCTAATTCTATTGGCTTTCAAAAGCCAATAGGAATTGTCCAGGCTGTCTCTGCCCTGCTGAGCCCGCCAAAAGTCCCATTCTGCAAATGGTGCTGCACCAGTTGAGTAGTCCTCGACTTACGACCGGTGGAGTAGTCCTCAACTTACGACCGGTTGGGGGGGGTCACGGCATTAAAAAGGTTGAGAACCACTGATCTAGATTGAGAGATGCTGACCGTCCCACTGTCCCATGAGCCTCATAATTGCCTGATGACTTGTTGCTTGTTTAAAATATTTTTAATGCCTACTATCAGCCACATCATAGGAAGTCTTCACAAATGCTGAGGAGACCTCCCCACTCCCTGCAGGTTGGGCTGTACATCAGTGTGATACACACTGTCTTGTGAACATCTGACTAGGATGAATAAAACAGTTTGAAACTGGTATTTGGGACTGGATTTTAGAGGGACATGAGCAACAAAACAGCAGAAGGCTGGTTCAAAACTGAATCAGAAACATTATTCAAACATCATACGGTATAATTGTGTTGCTCTTCCTTTCCTAGAATCTTTTATTTGTAGTTGTCTTTAAGCACTGGATTGTCCTTTTTGTGCCTTCTTTGGTTTTTCTTTGAAAATATTTCCTTTTAACTCTCTCCAGCTTGCCAATATCCTCCCTGTAAAGAATGGTTCCAACCAACTGCAATAGTGTGAAAGGTAAGGACATGTTTTTTCAGATGCTGATCGTAAAATCACTTTTTATAACCTTCATTACCACTTAGGCTTTGTTGCCAGCAAAGCAATATAGTCTTTCAACCTTCACTTTGATAAAGAAGAGAAGAAAAAGAAAAGGAATGAAAAAAAAATCTTTTCCAGGAGTCAATACACAGGCTGACCATTCATATGTATATACCTCCTCTTACCATAAATTCATTTATGAGATGATGGAATAGCTATGGGCAGTTTCAACATTCTCTGACCAAAGTTAAGGCTTTCTGTGCAACAATGTTTTTGCACAGAAACAAATCACATAGTTGCTTTTGATGAGGATTCTTTCAAATTTAAGAACTATTGTCCTAAATGGGGGGAGTCATTAATTTGATTGAGCTTTCTGCTCTGATTGGCAGCTACAGAAGGCCTATCTGAGTTTTAAGTTATCCAGTTTCTATTTCACAGAATTGGAGCATATTGTTTGATTTCCTATTGTAGAAATACATCAGCTTTTAATTAAGCTGTAAAATTAAGTAAATATGCCATGGCTTTTTTGAATTGATGCATAGATGGATAGATATTTAAGAACTTTTTGACCAGTTAAGTAAACACATAATTCAGAAAGCAGTATTTTCATGTTGCTGCTACAAATAATGAAGAAGGATGTATCAAATAAAATCAGAAGTGGGTATGTGAATTCTACATTTGCTCTCAGTATTGAGTTCAGTGTAGGACCTAAATCAATATTTGTATTGTTGAATTTTTGCATTAGGCATGACGCGGTATAGAAGGAAAATGTCACTTCTATGCCTACATGCATTTGCAAAGGCGCTCTGTTGCACTTAAAGTCACATTTCTTGTTAATAGAAATATGTGGAAAGGTTTAAACCCAGCTATGTAAGTGTCACAGGTGATTATTATTCTGATCTGTCAACATTTTTATATTCTTTCAAAGACAAGAATAGAGGAAAGTCCATATTTTTTATTTTATACAATTTCTATTAGGTACAGGGTTAATTTTTTTTTTTAAATCCTCCTTCTTACTCTGCTAGAAATCTGTAACAAATTTTATTTATTTCCTAACATGTTTTCTTCTACAATTGTAGCCTGGCCTTTTAATTTTGTTGCTTATTTTTGGGGGGGAGGTGGGGAGGATAAAAAATGAGCAGAAAAAGCAATGTTAGCTTTACAGTACTGGGCCATGAGGAATATACCTTCAAAGTTGATATAATATGCTAGCATACCCTTTTTAGGGCCA